GACGGAGTGTGGAAGCTCACTGATGAGAGATGAGAATGAGAGTCACAAAGGAGAGTAATAATGAGCTTGAGATGACCAGCGGCTGGTAGTAAGTTATAGAGATGACTGGGAGACGCGTCTGTTTATGTGAAAAACAATCCTTTGCTTTGCCACTTTTGTCACCAGGACAGATTGAAATGCCTTGACTTGAAAGCAAGCCCTTCCCCCTCGAGAGCTCTCTGCATGGAAGCAGTACTCAATAACAATGGAAAGCTAGCTACTATCATGTCCGTTGGATAGGTCAACGAGGTGGCTAGTTTCTGGAGAAGAGAAAAGATGACCAAAGGATGGATTAGATTGGGATGACATCATCCCACGTGATCCGGCCGTCTCAAGTCAACAATACCGTCATCTCTGTTCTGAAGAAGCATAAAATGGCACTATCTTGAAAATGCACAGTGGCACAACGCAACGAAAGATAGGACATCTTCATTCTATAAACTGATGGAAGGTGCATATCTCCAGGGAAATGTTGTCCCCCAAAGTTTTGATCGAAATCTCTCTCAAATGGAATCAACCTGCTTTCCTCTCAGCAAAAATGTTATCGTGGTTCAAGATGGAAAATCCCTCGGCATATACTGCCAGGACAACAGTCTAGGGAGCCAAACTGATTGTTACTGTATATGTACAACTGGAGGGATGCAAAGTCAGGAAGACCAATAATGATCTTCCGAGTTCCTTTCTTTAAGAAGCAACCCTGTAACCGCCAGCATTGGACTGACTATCGGAGTTGGAATCATCGGAATCATCTTCTTTTCGAGATTCGCGTTCTGCTTCCCAGCGAGCAACGTTTTCCATCAGTTCTTGGCTTGCCTTGTGGAAATCACCTTGATGCCGGGCCTCTGCTTCTCTGAGAAGGCGCTGGAAATTCGTCGCGGTGCCATATATTGCATCTAGAACACCTGTCGGTCTGTTTGCGAGTGTCAGTACATCAACATCATCATTAAATACAAACTAAAACTTTCCCGAAATTCTCGTTAAACGAGTAATGGTGGAAATCGTGTTGGAGACTTCGATACGCATACGGCTACGCACAAAGTTAGTTATAGTTTATGATACTAGTAGGTTAACTCACAATGTTGTAGTCCGAGTGCGTGCAAAGCGTACCGAGCTCCAAATCTGTTCAAAGGGATGAGCAGTTGGATGGATCGAGTAATCATCGCTCCTACCGCAATAAAACATAATGACTGTAGCACGTTAGCGCAAGTAGCGCATAGTAGAATAGAACTTACTCATTGACCAATGAGACCCCAAAATGATCAAACCTGGGTGAGTGGATCAATTAATGTCTCTTGCCGTCACGATGTGAACCTACCAAGCACAATCGGCATAATGTTGGAAAAAAGATGTTCGGTCAATGTGCAGTACGTTGAGGCAAGTGCTACGGGTGCTGTGAACTCGTGGTGCTTCTTATGAATCTTTGAATAAAACAACGGCTGGTGGAAGAGCCGATGGACATAGAAGAAGCCGGCCTATTGAAGAACGTTGTTTGACGAGGATAACAATGAAACGATAATTACTGACCTCCATGCAGATCATGCAGAATACCCAAGTATACAGTGTTTCTATCGCTCCTGGAAGAGGTGCATCGGTCCTCATCCCTCGCCATGGCGCGATCCATCGACCCATTATGTAAGCCATAGGTCCAGCAACGAGTACTTGATTCCGCAGGACCACCAAGCAAATTTTTGCATATTCTTTCCCACTAACCCTCTTCCATGGCTGGAGTTTATACTTTAGCAACCATTTTGGCCGCTCCGTTAGATCGGCGATCATGAAGATAATGCCAAGAATCCAGTATACGGATGAGGTGACGATGAAGGTACCCCATGAGTGAATTTGCATGCTCGTATAATTTGCGTTCATCCAGTCGTAGAATCTTTGGCCCAACGAAGATTTGTTGAAGCCAATCGTAATAGCCCACATGAGGAACATTGGGGTATGAGCTAGTCCTGGCGTATTTCTCAAGCTGCGATTGATAAGTTCAACCATCTACCTCTCTCTAGTGGTAAGTTACGTACACTGATTTCCCATTCGAAAGTCCACCTGGCCATGTCTTGGGTCCAGCAGGCCGTATTTGCACATCATTTTTCTTTGTGTCCGTTGTAAGGGATGTCATTTGCTCTAGCCGGCACTGAGTGAGTCGGTTGATCGATCCCCCTTGGGTTTTTATAATGTGATACAAAGGACGCCCACGAAACATCCATGGCGTAAGGATGCGACATGACAGCGAAGAGACCCCTGTCACAGGATGCAAAGGTTATGACGCACGTGACCTTCGGGTAACTTGCATGAATTGTGCCTCGCGGTTAACTGGTAGCACATGAAGGACTTGCGTGATGGGTTTCACCGTGGACTGTCTGTTAGGAGAAGGTTGGGTGCGTGAAAGTCGGAAATCAGAAGATGAAATTTGGTCATCTAATAGGGCATGTAGTAAAAGGCTGGACTCTGACAGTGTCAAGTCGATGTTATATGGTTGAGTATACATCGAACACACGAGATGTTGCTAGTGGCTCTTTCAAGGGTCTAGGTATGGTTATACATGAGTTTTGCGACGGCGCCTAGTCTGACACTCAGATGGAAGACAAGATGTGGGCTGAATGGGAGTTCCCGCCGCGCCGTTCCAGGTTTGGGGTCTCTTGGATATCCCAGATGAAACACATCATCTGTGCATCCGGATCCGAATCTTCTGACTCTTGGTCTGTTTCTCATCGCAAAGGGCAATATTCATCATCAATTCTTGACCGGTTTATGAAGGTTTCGTTGCTTCGGCCGCTTTGAGAAGGCGACTGTTGCGGTACCATATATGGAATCCAAAATTACAGTTTGGTTAAAGTGCTCGATGGCAAGCATCTCTTCAGGAAAGCTGAGTCTATCTCACCTAAAAGCATAATGGTGGCAGTCGTGCTAAAGACTTCGGTATGCGTGAGCTTTATAGACAATGTGCTGAGTAGAAATATCCACGTTGAGAATTACGAGCTTGAAGCAAAAAATTGCCAATCACTAGTGCGTTAAACGGGTTTGAAGACAACTCTGCGGCGCCAAGTGGTGAGATTTGGTAGAGTCAGAACATAGAATGCATTCTACCAATGTTTAGTAGAATTTTCGGACTCTCAAACGACCTTGGCTACAAAACCACGATTTCTAACCCAATTCTTCACCGTTTGAGCTGATTTCTGGATCATTTGAAAGACAGAAAGCAGCAGAATCGAATTATGCAATAAAATGAGTTCCGGTACAGGGAATCGAACCCTGGGCTGCGCTGGGCGCAATTGATTACATAAGCGTGACGTAATCAATGCAATGAGAGAGCGCAATGTTAGCCACTACACCATGCCGGAGTGTTATATGATATTCCCTGTACAGGAATAGGAGAAATGTTGGATGTCTTATGAATTGCAATGTCAAACAATATTGACAATCGAACAAATGAGATTGGCACCTTGCCTCGAGCGGTTGAAAAACATACCAGGTGATACTTCTAGATTGGCCATTTTGGTAACTTCAGGAGGTACAGAATGACCTTCACCTCGTGTTCAAATACTCCTACTATGCTGACGCCTATTTTTTGAACTAGCCTGTTCCCCAGTTTCTTGATCCTCGCCCATCGTCCCCCTTCATCAGCTTCGCCTTTATTGTCTTAATTACTCTTCAGTGAGTTCTCCGTCACTATCGAACGCTGCGATGCTGGCAGTGAGTGCTGAAGCGGCTGAATGTGTATGGGGATGGCCACGTCTAGCTATAGTTTCTACATGGTCTTGGAGAGATGAGATACTTATACTGAGAGTAAGGTAAAGAGTAATCGGGGTGACAGATTGTAGAAGTTGGATACTGATGCTTTGTCAACATATAACTTGATTCCCGACCGTCGGAGTAGAGGTGGTAAGAAACGATACACTGGAAAGTTGCGTAGTCCTTTATTGGATTTTCCGTTTTGGCCGCACTTTTCTCTGTAAATATCGCCAACTGGCAGGATCACGTCTCACATCTTCTAATTGGTCATTATGTGTGCCTGAGACGGACTTATCGGAGAAGTGTGACAAAGTGCGGTTCTGCCCTCCGGAATTGCTCAAGACATAATGGGTTCTTCAGGACTGGGAATGGACAACATGTAATCTAGCTCCATCGTGGTATACATCATGCAAGCTGACACCTCTAATTGGAATCCAACCAGTCAAATCCAGTCCTCTCTGAAAATATCAGGTTCAAGCGAATTGCAAGACGGACACCGGCTATAAACAACACCACCATGTCAATGGATGCTCAAATCACAAATATAAGGTTGCCCCACCTTTGAGTAGCTGCTTAGCAACTATGTCAATATTCTGGTCATAGTATTCTTTATATAAGTCTGGATGAGGCGGGAAGTCGCGTGCATTAATGTGAAGATTGGCGGTATCTAGGGCCCATAGGTAGGCGCAATGCTACCATTTGAGCACAATTCGTTGATTTCAGGGGTATAATGTGTTAGGGCAGTGATGGTACTGACCTCTATGGACTTAGGAAACGGGCAGTTAATCAAAGCAGTAACACGGGATTTCAACTCATCTTTCGGAAGGTTTTTAACGGAGTTAGCAAGCTGCGTGGCCCATTCGAATCCCGCAAAGGAATCCTTAGTTTTGAATTGATCGACTAGATATTCGTTTATCAGGTATCTGTCCCAAACTAAGTGGAGTAGTGATATATAATCAACATACTGTAAACGGACTAGTTCTCAACGTACCTTCATGCAAGTTAGTCTTAATGCCTTTCCATTCGACTTCTCGATCATTTCCACCATTCCGACCCTCGAGGTCAACGTGATAAGGTTGCGTCACATCTGCGATAAGATGTATCAGAAATTTAAGTGGTTCCAATTGATTGCCTAGAGTGGTGGCAGTATCTCGAAGCAGTTTGTCCTAACCCAAAGGGTCTCAGAGACAGAACATGGGGAGCAAATGTTTCACTCCACCTGTTCCACGCTTGGGATGAAACAGACCATCAGGTTCGAGTTACTAT